CTGGTTTGCAGAGCCTTGCGCCCGGGCGGCCAGCTGACGCAATCGCACGAAAATACTATTTGCAGAACACCTCGGACGAACGCAGCTACTCAATGAGCTTGCAGTGCACCTCGGATGTGTTCCGCACCAGCCCCGGGCCAGCGTCGGTGTTTCTGCGCATCGACGTTCACTTTCCGCCAGGATACCCCGGCCAGGGCGCTGTTCCCAATTTCGAGATTCAAAAGTCGGGCATGGTGTCAATGTCCAATCGCGCACATCTCTCTCAGAGGCTCTCGCAGATCAGCATGGTGCACGTTTCGCGCAAGCTGCCGTGCCTCGAGGACTGTGTGCGGTACCTCCTTGGCGAGAGCAGCCTTGCTGCACCGCATTTTGGAGCGCACATTCCAATCGACACTCCGCCCCCGGCGAGCCTGAGTGGAGGCTCCACGGGCGTTTCGGCCGAGTCGTACCAAGGCCGCGAAGCCCTTGCTGGCCTTGACATTGGCGGCCTTGCACACCCGGGAGAGGAGCTGTCACTCTCGGAAACCAGCTCCAGTGACGCCGAAGGCCCGTTTGCACTCGGGCGATTCAAGCCCCTGACAGACCGGCGCTTCATGCAAGATGGCCCAGGTAGCAAGGACAGCAGCAACGTGCCCTATCCCCGACTATGTGGCGCATCCTTCTCGATGAGCGGTGAGTGCACGGCAGGTTGCTCATATTCTTTCGGATTCATGCTGACGACGCGCCCGACCCCGCAGGCCATCTCGTGTTCTTCCGTTCGTCGCTCCCCCATCCGTCGACGACAAAGTTCAAGGCCCAGATCTTCTCGATGCGCAGCCAGTATCCGGTGCGCCAGCTTCAAGCCTTCACCAGCCAGCCAAAGACCCTCGCACAGTACTTTCAGTACCGCAACTTTCTGCAGTCTCGCCCACCTAGGCCGGGTGTCTCTGCTTCCGCAGGCTCGTCGGAGCTGCTTGTTCCAGACACCAGCGGCGCGCAGGTCCGGACACGGCGATCCGAAAAATGGCTTGGCGGTGATATTACCGAAGAGCCGCCGTCGATCATGAGCTTCTATGGACGACCGCGGGTGAGCGTCGAGCCCTCTCGATTGCGTCCGCTGCAGCATCGCGCTTGATCGCTGACGCTGCATCTCGACAGCAACCCGCGCTCACACACACCACCGGCTTCTTCGCTGATCCGCAACGAGGCCCGACGCAAGCGAGCGGTATTGGCGCAAACACGCCCGTGCGCTTCAAGCGCGCTGTCGGCCAGTCCCTAAGCGACCTGGCCATGGCATCGACAGGATCCGCATCTGGCTCGACCGAAATCAGTACGCCGCACACGGCAAGCACGATCACCGCGACGCACCGGCCATTCCGCACTCCGGTCAACCCGACGAGTTTGTCGAGCCAGTCGCAGATGCCCTATGCCGACGGCCCGAACCAACTGGATGCCGCAGGCTCGCCCTTGTCTCTGGAGCAAGAGCAGTTAACACCGCGCACGCGCACACTGCGCCGCCGCCACTCGAGCGAATCCACGCACTCGAACGCATCAGAGTCGGAGTTCCAGTCTGCGTATGTCAGGATGCCTCCGGTTGCGAGCGTTCGCACGACAAGCGGCGCGAGCAGCGCGGCGAGCTTTGGCAACATTGGCGACCCGTTTGGCAGCGTCAGGCCGGATGGACCGGGCGGATTCGGCCAGCACGCCAGTAGCTATGGAGGCACTTTGATTGGTAGGCCCATTGATATCGCCAAGCCGCTAGCGTCGTCGCAGCACGCGGGCTCGCTCGAGTCCGGAACCTCGATGGACGGATCGCCGGACCTTATCGGACATGTGCTACCGTCGCGCGCAGCGCAGGCGAGCAGCGCCAGCATCTCGATCCATCGTCCGGCGCCCCAGACACAAGCCGCCACGACCGTATCGCCCTCGTTGCTGTCGATGGTGCTTCCGCCGTGGTCGGACGGCCGGCACATGGAGCTCGCGCAACGCAGGCTCTCGTTGGCCGTCGCGCCGCCGCCACCCGACCTTTTGCTCGACAGCCCTGGCCGGCTCGATGCATCTGCCCAGGCTTGGAGCCGCGGTCGATCGTCCTCGGACACGGGCGGGAGCCGCCTCAGGCCCAGCATGGCAGCGCTAGAGCGTGGGCTGAGCAGCGAAGGCTCGGACAAGAGCGGCCATGATCTGTTCGCATCGGAGCTTGCAAACAGGCGCTCGCGTGACATTCCGCCCGCCGAGGTTGCATCGAGCCAAGGATCACATTTTGGACGTGCGGCTGGCGTTGCGGCCACGGCTGCAGCGATGGTCTCGAGCCAGACCTCAGGCGCCTCACAAGGCTTTGGATCACCGGCTCACCAGAATACTATTGCGGCAGGAACTCTGCTGGTAGCGTCGCAGCCATCGTCGCTAGTGTTTATTTTGGACATGACGCATCTGCTGCCCGTTCGGCGCGACCTTGCTGAGCGATACACGTGAGTAGAAGCATTCTCGAGTATTGCAGAGCATCTATCGGTGCTCGAGCTGACGCTGAGCGCGCCAGCCTTACGGGAGACGACCCGGCGCACATCTGTCGGACCAACCGCAAGCATGCAAAAGCAGCGCGACGCATGGATCTCGTGCGGATCTGGCGGCTGGCGGAGCTGATTCTGTCGCGCGAGACGAGCACTCACGATGGCGCAAACAAAAGCGCGAGGGACGCCGACGAGTCTGGGGGCCCGTTTTCAAAGATGCATTGGCTGCATCATCCGATGGGCCAGAGCATGGTCCAGTCGATGTGGGTATTTTCTCGTAAGCCAAATGCGCTGCGGGCCGACTGCGACTGACTCCGTTTGTGCGCTTTAGATTCGGATATCTCGCCAAGATGGGTGACATTCAGACGCTTGCCATGCTCGTGTGTGTCTTTAGCGAGCCGTTTGTGCGGTCCGTCGACCGAGGCGATGTGCGTGGCTCTGCCTTGCGCTCGGCCACCTGTCCCGCAACCCGGCGCTGACGGATGCATGCAGACATTAATTGCTCCGCGGCGGATCGACTCGACGCCCATGATCCGCGTGCCGTCGTCGCCGATGCGGCACATGCCCGCGCTGCCATACCGCGGGCTGCCACGGCATCCCGACGGGTCGCCTGCGCGCAGCTTGTCTCGCTCGGCTTACTCTGGGTCGGACATGCCCGCGCTGGCGGCTGCCATCACGGCGGGGTCCTACCCGCACGAGATGGCGCCGTCGCTGACGGGCGGATATCCGACGACACCAGGCCCGCCGTCGCCATTCGGGTCGATGCGGATGAACATGCTCATTCCGCGCAGCGGGTCGATGCGGGCGCCTTACCAAGGCGGCATGGCGAATCCGCTGCCAATCGGAGGCACGGCGATCTCAGGCGCATCGCTGGGGTCGATGGCATCGGGCGGTGTTTCCTCGCAGGCGTCTTCGGTTGCGTCGATGGTGGCCTCTTCTGCGCAGTCGGAAAGCATGATGCGCGCGCTGATCATGGGTGCCGGCGTGTCCAAGACCGTCGGCATCCCTGCGCGGCGTCGCGAGTCGGGCAGCCGTCTTGTGCGCACTGCCTCGACGGGCGGCGCCGGCCCCAACGCTGCGCGGCTCTCGGACATTTCGTCGCTCTCGATCCCAACCATGCATCTGCAGCACGAAAGGCAGGCACAGGTCGCCGGCAGCATGCCCATGGTCATGTCGCCTGTCGAGCGAACACCGTCGAACCCTGGACAACGGTCGTATCTCGGCCTGACGCAGACAGGGGGGACGCCTGCCAACGCATGGCCGCATTCTTCGAGCAGACAGGGTATGGCCGCGCAGGCACCCAGCGGATACATGCGAGTCCCGATCCTCGGCCCCGCTCCGGTTGGCAACCAGCGCGGCTCGATGCACGCCGGGAGCTCGTCTTTGGCGCCGCACAGTGCATCAACGCACGTCAGCAACACGTCCGGATTCTCGTCGGAGCCGAGTCCGGGTGTGGTGGCCGCGTCAAACAACAGCAGCAGCACCAACATTGCCAGCAATAGCGTGGGCGGCGTCAGCAGCAGCATCAGCAGCAGCAGCAACGCGCTTCTTTTAACCAACGCGATGCCGCCCGGCACACGGTTTGGTGTGACGATGCATCGGACCAGCAACGACGACTACGACGAGCACGACCCCGCGGACTCTGCGCCGATACCCACGTCTCCGGCGCAGGCGACCTCGGGCTCATCGTCGCCCGTCCGTATGCTTGAGCCACCGCACACATCGAGCACCGACACCCACGGGCCGCGGCTGCTGGACCCCGCGCATTACGACTTGTACAACGGGTACCTCCAGCGCTACGCAGAGCTACTCTACTCGTGGGCTCTGCTGCAGCAGCGCGCCGACCTGCTCAAGTTCCAGTCGCTCAAGGCGAGTCGGCCAGGCTCGGCACATCTTGCCGCCAGTAAGTCGGGGGGGGGGTCTCCGCTGAAGCGCCGGCAAGCTCGGATGGTGCTGACAACAGCGCGCAGAGCTGTGTACCGACTGCCAGCGGATGGCCCCCGAAGCTCGCGCCGCACCGCAGCAATGCAAGAGCTGCATGCGCGGCATACGCTGCGCGCTGTGCCGCAACCCGTGCCGGGGCTTTGTGCAGCTTTGTCTCGTGTGCGAGCACGGCGGGCACGCCAAGCACATGCGCGACTGGTTTGCAACCAACGTCGAGTGCCCGACAGGGTGCGGCTGTCGGTGCGTTGATGCGGAGCGCAGCATAAAGAGCGAGTTCTGAGTAATAAAATCACCCTTTTACCTTGTCACGACTTGACGTCTGCCGTCCCGCACTGCAATCGTCCGGAATGAATCATGTAATCCGCTAAGCCAATATTGAGTGCGTCCCTGCGCGATGCGAGTCGGACAGAGCTGAGAGGTGGCATTTGTGTACGTAAAGACGTCATGATGCGTGTGCGGCATGGAGCAGGCGGCTTGGCGCGCGCGTGTGCCGCCCAGGCGCGCTCTCAGGCAAGGAAAGTTGCCTAGCAACCGCAAGGAATATAAATCGGATTGCCGGCGAAAAAGTTGGCTCCTGTAGCGTAGTTGGTTTATCGCCTCGTACTTATACTGATTTCTGTCAGTATGCAATGCGAAGGTCCCGAGTTCGAGCCTCGGCAGGAGCATTTTTTTGATTTTTGCACTTCGTTGGTCTTCATCTCTGCGCGCGAACTTCTGCCGCGCATGCACGAGCGCCGCATGCTGGTCATGCTGGTGTCGCCGAGATGAGCAAACCGGACGCTCTTTGGCAACACGCACACGAGGTGGCCGGACTCCCGCCATCATTGCCCTCGTCTCGCGCCGTCGCAGCTCGGCTCCTGCGCAACGGTCACCCGTTTGTCGGCCGCCAGTGCCCGATCTGCCGCACG